CAAAGCTTGTGCTTTCTCTTATTTATTTTTAATATTTATATACTGCATTATCTGCTAAAATGTCATCAAGGAGGTATACAGCAATTTAAAACAATACAAAGAGGAATGTGAAAAATAATAAAAACTCGATATTTTCAAAGGTTTCATTGAAGGGATACGTTTCTGCAGCCTTGAAAACCAAGATATTTTCTGATCTACCCAGAATGGAGAACTTTCATTCAAGATTGAGTCCAGTTCCCAGAGAAAACTGACCCCAAAGGATTCATGAAGCTTGCCTGAGTATGCAGTTCTTAAACAGAAACACCAGTTAAAATAGCAGCTTTCTATAGCCAATCTGATATTTTATAATGAAGCCAACTTCCCATAAAAATAAAACATGCAAATCTGATCATGTATCTCCATCCAAATTTCACTGAGCAAAAGGGAAGTCTTCCTAAAAATATTGGCTGGAGAGTATTAAGAATTAAAGAACTTTAGAACTATTTTTGTCCTTTTCAAGGCACTATCAAACCTAGTCAAACTGGGCTTATAAGACGAGATCACTGTGGTGATATATGACTATCAGATGAGGTCAACACCAGGGCCAGGAAGACTTCCTGGACAGTTCCTATTTGTTCCCTTGGAGTTTGCATAGGAGAACTTCCTGGTGGCTTCTGCCCTTGGGTAGGATTGTCTCATATAGCCTAATTAAAGTCAGTGGAGCACAGATAGATGCAAAAGTGCTATGTGAGGAAGAATCCCTAATGGTGAGACCTTTCGAGTTATCTCCTGAGCAAATTGATGGCAGTTACATTACTTGAGACTAGATAAAAATTTGTTGATAGGGCCATAGGGATTAGGAAATCTTCTACTGGCATTTTAGCTTTGAACTTTTCTTAGTCAGGAGATGAAATCAATGTGATATACCTCCTGAGCTGCATAACCACAGCAGCATTAGTCTAGATGTGTGATATTGGATGACTCATTCTGGAAGGGTGAGACAAGGTGAGATGACGTTATGAACTATGTTGATTTAATGACATCTATTGTGGTCTGGTTCACCACAATGAAATAGGAGGAGTTTATCTTCCTAATACTTTCTAGACATTGCTATCTTTGTATGGAGAAAAAATATAAAGGTGTGGAAAAAATTCAGAAGCTTTCTCCTGCTCCCTGCAGTTTTCTCTCTTCCACCCTTTTCTGTTCCCACCTGCCTTCAAATCTATATGCAGACCATGAGGTGTAAATTTCAACATACTTGATAGTGAGTAAATCCTACTTAACATTGTAGGACTGACTTATGAGTAAGTATGCTAAAGATTGTGTAGTTCATAATTAGAGACCTTACCTGCAATCTGAAATAGTACATTCTTGACACAGGTTTGATACTTTATCTGTTATTAATGAGAATTCAATCATAGGAAAGCTTCAGTATTGCAAAGGACAGGTGACTATTTCATCAGATGGTAGAATTTCCATGGTATAATGTGATAGCCATAAGAAAATCTACCTCGCAAAGCTATTGTAAGTAGAAGATGCAGATGCTGTTACTTGTTAATCTCAAGCAATATATTTAGAAACAGAGTTTAAAACATCTTATGTGTTTCTCACTATGTAAACAAACACATCTTTAAAAATTACACACTCTTGCTTAAACTATATTAAGCCTACTGAAAACAATAGGACTAGGAAGTCCTAAATGCAAAATAAACCTAGTTTGAGCAATTGATGGAAAGTAGCTAGAGTTGTATTTCAGCCAGATCTTTGGACCACACTTTCCAGAATTTGTGGTCATGCTGGCTGGGGCTGCTGGAAGCTGAAGTCCAAAATATCTGGGGCATATCAGGTTGATGAAGGCTGGTCTAGAACATGAACAGGATGTACCTGTTCTAAAACACCAGGAGAAGGAAGATTGCCTTCATGGATGTATAGTAGATCATACCCCTTAATAGTACATTAAACAAATAGGCTTACTCTAGAGTAACCCAGTTTGATGTCTAGAGATGAACATCTGTACATATTTCATCTAGGAGAGCTTGCTTTTGAGTACATTTGCATGGGATTGAGCTACACAGTGTTAATGCTCATGTCCGATTATTCAGAGAATGTGCACATATAAAGGTTAGTCCTGTTTAGTCATTCAGAAAGGGGTTAAAGTGACACAAGGGGAAGGCACACTTCAGCCTTGTGTTTCTTCTTTGTTGAGTTCCCTGCCCTCTGCTGGTGGAGTGTGACTGTGCCTTGTTTGTGGGGACTCTCACGGGGATTGAAAACACTGGATTCTCAGTGCATGGAGAGAAGATGCTTTTCTCTTCCGATAGTCGGTCTCCACAAGTGGAGATGATGAACGCAGTGAAGAGGGCAGGACTGGAGTATATCCTCCCCTTGCAAGTTGATTCCCTTTTGAATGACTGAATAGGGATTTTTGGTCCAGAAATTACTCTACCCTTAAAACATTTTCCATTGGAAGGACTCAACACATGGTCATCCCAGTAGTTAATCTTTAGTGCATTGTTTCTTCAGTAATGGTACATATTGTTGTCTGTCTCTACTCTTCACCCCCTTCCATATGGGTTTTATCCCTTGTCCTACTCATATACTGCTAGGGCTGTACAACTGGTTTGCTCTTGTGCCATTGATGGCAATTCGATCTTCCAAAATCAGCAGGAGGAACTTTGCAGGGTATGATGAGAAAATAGCAGATGTGCCAAAATTAGGTACAATTTGAGGACATGGGCTTAGGTTAATGATGGGAAATAGTGGGGACCTAGCTGTTGTGGGACTCAAATGACAATCAGCCCCAACCGGCAATGTTGGAGAATGATGGAACGTATAGCCCAGCAACATCTGGAAAGCCACCCCCCACCACCACCATAACAAGCAGCACCTGCCACATTTCTCTCTTCTGCGCAAGCATTGAAGATCCAGCTCTGTCTCCTTTGTCCAGCTTTGCATCAGGTCATTTAACTAGAAAGGGGTCTTCTCTTTTACATTTTATTAGACTGATACATCTTTTAGTGCAGGGGACAGTACCCTGTGGCCCTCCAGGTGTTTTGGGCTACAACTCCCATCATCCCTCACCCTTGGCTGTGCTGGCTAATGCCGATGAGAGCTGTGGGCTAAAATTATCTGGTGAGCTACAAGTTGCCTAGTCCTGCTCTGGTATGCATCTGTCCATGTGCATAAAAACTATCTTGATATAGCAGGTCAGCCATTCCAAACCTACAGATAGACGGCTCGAACTACAACTCCTAGCATACTTATGTAGTGGATGCTGGCTGTAGATGATGGAATTGGTCTAATATACCTAAGAGGTGCCAGGTTATGGGATGCTGCTCTGAGATGTCACAGTGTCTTTCCCTCAGCCTAGTGACTCCTTGAAGGCACTGAATCCTTGTGGATGGTACTGGAAGCTGCCTGTGACTTCCCTGTTGTTGCATGGAGACAGGGAGCCCCGATGGCACTAAACAAATACTGCCTAATAAATATACATGCCTTATGGGTAGAAAAGTGAATCCAGGGAATTGCTGCCATTTCTTGACTCCTTTGCAAACAATAGTGGGAACTGTTAGTCTTACAACATTGCTCACCCTTCAGTGGATGCAGGACAAGATGTGTATAATTTATTGTGGTGGGCAAGGCACACAGAACATAACAGGACTGGCTTCTGAAGAGTGCGCCGTCTGGTTTTAACCCTTTGCAACTGCTCCTAAGAATAAGCAATATTATTATAGTGGGACCTACCCCTGAGTAAATATAGTCTGCATTTGGCAACCAGAGTTAGGCTAGTCCAAACCCATTGAGTCCAACATGTGCACAATTGGGGTCTAAAATAATACTTTAAAGTTGTTGAAAGTTGGTCCAGTACTAGCAGCTATAACAAATTTTAATAACTTTAAAACAAAATCTCATCTTTTTCATCTGACAGTATCATCTGGCTGCACTGAAACCATTGTAAGGATGCACAGTGGTACATTTTGAAGCAAAACTACATTTCTTCTTGTTAGTCCTGAGAGGCAGCTCTGCTTCCTCTAATTATCATAAAGCAGTGGACAGCACACATTTAACCCATATTTCAGCTCTTAATTTCTTGTCTCTCTTGAACCCCCACATTCCTTACGACGATCTACGATTTCATACTTTGAAATAGCCTTTCTGTTTTTAAACAAACAAAAAACTGTCTTCGTCATTAAAGATGCTTAAAAATAGTAAAATAGTTCAAGGGATGGGCCTTTGTGATGTCACAGGTACCAGCCAATCAGCTCTGTGAACAGCTGGCTGCTGCTGTAAACAAGCAGAACTGGGTTTCCCAGATGTGACTCTGCAAGGGACTAGATCATGTGACTAGTGATGCCTCTTCTTATGTTCATCTGTACTCACCTGAGTATTGCTGATTCAGCTTCATTTTTATCTTTACTGTTATGGATTGATTGATCTGACTGCCCAGTAACTAGAATGTTTCGGCTTGTGTACAGATCAACTGAAAACTTTAAATGCAGAGAACAACGAAAGGCATAATAAAATCAAGATAAAACCAACATCAAAGGGTTTTAAAAGCATGTAAACCCAAAGTAAAACTAGCAGCAAAATAAAGCTGTTTTTTAAATGCCAGGGGAAATAGAAAGCTCTTCGTATGGCACTGAAGAAAACCCCCTAGCATGGGTGTTAGATGAGTTTCTCTGGAGAATGCAATTCACAGAGAGAAAAGTTCCTCTCTCAGCTTGTCCTGCATTTGGAGAGATTTTTATCTGTAGAAAAATGTATTTTCACAGTAGAGCACAGTATATTTGTTTACTTCTTCCCAACCAACTGGCCATTAGGCGGTGCCTTACCCATTCCTACCGTGTGCAACACTTACATTCACAGTTGGTGTTTGATGGGCATTATTCTTGCTATCAAATAATGCATGCTAGCACATTTATCCATGAGGGACGCTTCACATTATCATTCACTTTCATTCATTTCCCCTCCTATTGCTCCAGCTCCTTACCGACTTCTGCTTTCTCTTTTCCCTGTCACAGGCGATTCAACCTCTGCCAGTATGGAGAGGCTGCCTCCGCCACCACCTCCAACCATGAATTTGCGCTTTGTGCCGGAACAACTCCAGCCGCCATATATGAAATTTTCTGAGTGGAAATTCAAGCTGTTCAAAGTGAGGCCGCTAGGAAAGCCACTTCCTGAAGATAACCATCTGGCTAGCAGCGATAAAGAAGTGGCAGCTTCTCTGGTCAGAGTCACCGAGCAACAGGTTGATTCAGCAGCTTTCGTGTCACAACATGTGCCCTTTGAAGCAGGCACAGAACTGAACAAAAGTATGCCGGCAATAAATAAAGTCGTCGTTCACAGCAGCTATAAAGAGATAGAAACTCATCAAGCAAACCTGCAGCACCTCTGTCGCATTTGTGGTGGTTCGTTTAAAACTGACCCTTGCAAGAGAAGCCACCCTGTTCATGGGCCGGTGGATGAGGAGATGCAGGCGCTTCTGAGAAAGAGAGAGAGAAGGGCCACATCGTGGCCAGAACTTCTCGCCAAGGTGTTTAAGGTTGACGTGAGAGGAGACATTGACACGATCCACCCCACTCACTTTTGCCACAATTGTTGGAATGTGGTTCAAAGGAAGTTCAGCAATTCCCCGTGTGAAGTGTATTTTCCGAGGAATGACACAATGGAGTGGCATCCACATTCAGCCAACTGTGATGTTTGTAGCACTTCCTTCCATGGGGTCAAGAGAAAAAAACAAGCCCTGAATCCGCAGTTGAGCAAAAAGCTCAAGAACACGACAGGGCATGCTAGAATAATAAGGCGCGTGAGAACTATGAAACCAGTGAACAAGAGCTTAATGAAGAAGATTGCCAACTGCAGCAAGATCCACCTCAGTACCAGTAGACTTGCAGTAGACTATCCTAAAGACTTTGTAAAGTCAATCTCTTGCCAAGTCTGTGAGCATATCCTGTCTGACCCAGTAGAAACAACATGCAAACACTTATTCTGCAGGGTCTGCATTTTTAAATGTCTCAAAGTAATGGGGAGCTACTGCCCGTCCTGTCGCTATCCTTGCTTTCCAACTGATTTGGAGAGCCCTGTGAAATCCTTTCTGAATATCCTCAATGGTTTGGCTGTGAGATGCCCAGTGAAAGATTGTCTTGAGGAGGTCTCACTGGGGAAGTACTGCCACCATCTTTCCAGTCACAAAGAGGTAGAGGACCAAGATGGCTATGTGTATGTCAACAAGGGTGGCCGTCCAAGACAGCACTTACTCTCACTGACCCGGAGAGGGCAAAAGCATCGCCTACGAGAGCTCAAACTTCAAGTAAAAGCTTTTGCAGAGAAAGAAGAGGGGGGAGATGTAAAGTCTGTGTGTCTAACTTTGTTCCTACTGGCTCTGAGATCTAGAAATGAACACAGGCAAGCTGATGAGTTGGAAGCTATAATGCAAGGGAAAGGATCTGGCCTCCCTCCAGCTGTTTGCTTGGCAATCCGAGTCAACACGTTTCTCAGCTGCAGCCAATACCATAAAATGTACAGGACTGTAAAAGCAATAACAGGCAGACAGATTTTCCAGCCACTGCATGCTCTTCGAACAGCTGAAAAGTCCCTCCTGCCAGGTTATCATCCTTTCGAGTGGAAACCACCCTTGAAAAATGTGTCCAGTAATACAGATGTAGGCATTATTGATGGGCTTTCAGGGATGCAGCATTTGGCTGATGACTACCCAATAGATACGATAGCAAAGAGATTTCGATACGACACAGCTTTGGTTTCTGCCCTAATGGATATGGAAGAGGACATCCTAGAAGGGCTGAAAATTCAGGACTTGGATGACTATTTGAAAGGCCCTTTCACTGTGGTGATTAAAGAGTCCTGTGATGGAATGGGGGATGTTAGTGAAAAGCACGGCTGTGGCCCAATGGTCCCCGAGAAGGCAGTTCGATTCTCTTTCACCATCATGAGCATCACTGTCTGTCATGACAGTGGGAGCACAAAGATTTTTGAAGAAACCAAGCCCAATTCAGAGCTTTGTTGCAAACCTTTGTGCCTTATGCTGGCTGATGAATCAGACCATGAGACACTCACGGCCATCCTGAGTCCTCTTATAGCAGAAAGAGAGTCCATGAAGAGTAGTGTATTAATCCTGGATATGGCTGGAATCCCCAGAATGTTCAAGTTCATCTTCAGAGGCACTGGGTATGATGAAAAGCTTGTCCGTGAAGTAGAGGGCCTGGAAGCCTCTGGCTCTACTTACATTTGTACTCTTTGTGATGCAACACGCGTGGAAGCCTCTCAGAATTTGATCCTCCACTCCATTACAAGGAATCATGCTGAAAACCTGGAAAGGTATGAGGTGTGGAGGTCCAACCCCTACCATGAAACTGTTGATGAACTACGTGACAGAGTGAAGGGTGTTTCTGCCAAACCATTTATTGAGACTGTACCATCAATAGATGCATTGCACTGCGACATTGGCAATGCAGCTGAGTTTTACAAGATATTCCAGCTTGAGATTGGTGAAGTGTACAAAAATCCTGATGCACCAAAAGAAGAGAGAAAGAGGTGGCAGTGCACTCTTGATAAACACCTCAGAAAGAAAATGAATCTGAAGCCTTTAACAAGGATGAATGGAAATTTTGCTCGAAAGCTTATGACGAAAGAGACTGTGGAAGCAGTTTGTGAACTAATTGGGTGTGAGGAGAGGCATGAAGCCCTCCGAGAACTCATGGACCTGTACCTTAAGATGAAACCAGTATGGCGCTCTTCATGTCCCACCAAAGAATGTCCAGAACTGGTGTGCCAGTACAGTTTCAATTCTCAACGTTTTGCAGAGTTGTTGTCCACAAAGTTCAGGTATAGATATGATGGCAAGATTACCAATTATTTCCACAAAACTCTTGCTCATGTTCCAGAAATTATAGAGAGAGATGGCTCCATTGGTGCTTGGGCAAGTGAAGGAAATGAGTCTGGGAACAAACTGTTTAGGCGCTTTCGAAAAATGAATGCCAGACAATCAAAATGCTATGAAATGGAAGATGTCTTAAAACACCATTGGCTGTATACTTCAAAGCATTTGCAGAAGTTCATGAATGCTCATAATGCATTGAAAAGCCAGGGGTTCACCAACAATACAGAGCAGAGTGCACAAGATTTTGTGGAAGACACTTTCGAAATTGCTGATTCCATGGATTTCTAGGAGAGAAAAATGGCTTTGGTTTTGAATCTAAATTGCCTTTAATGGGGTGCAGGCAGATGTAGTATTTTTTTACCCTGGGTGGTAAAGAGTTCTGCCGTGGATGGAAGGCATTTGATGGTGGGCTGTTCTGGACAATAGATTCCAGAGCAAGGTAGTGGGCACTGGTAGAGCGGTGTGGCTTAGTAGCCACTTGGTAAGAGGAAAATGGAAAGGAAGGTAGCAGTTTTATTCTTATTTCATTATATGATACAGGGTTGGTGTTTTGTTTTTGTATTGTTAAACTTGAGGAGCTTTAGAAAAAAATCCAATGTTGGTTTATAATACAGAGAGAAAAATGAATCTTTACTTGTGTAACTAGGTTTTAGCTACCCTGGGAATCTGTTTGAATATAGGTAATAAATATTTTACATACAAGTTCAAGTTTTCCAAAACATGGAGTTGCTTAGATGCAGGCCTAGTGAACTGAACTCTGAATTTTGATAAAATATTTTTAACAAGTATAACTGTGAAGCCTCTGAAGATCTCAAACACCTCCAAAAGTTTCAAATATTATCAACATTGATGGGATAGAAATCTAATAAATAAAATAAAAAATAATTTTTGTGTTATACATCGATCATATACATAAATAATATACATAAAAGTTTCTGTATAACATATTTTTAAACTAGTGTACCTGCTGTTAAATGAGATACTTAAAAGTACCTCTTTAATCTCTGTATAAGGGGTTCATTATATTTTGATAATAGTTGGTAAGCAGAATCAGAATTTCAGTATTGCTTTTCTATTCAGTGAAGTTGTGCATTGCTGGATATATTTAAAACAGATTGGATTGAATCCAGACAGTCATGAAAGCCACGAAAGGCACGACTACCTTAGGTCCCATTGATTTCAATGGATCTGTTCTAAATATGACAAAATCTGGATTCAATCCAGAGAAGGTCAGTCAAGCTTAAGTCCAATTAAAATTAATGAGACAAACTAGTTGTGACTAACTGTCCATTGGTTTAACTGGGACTTAAGAGCAGCTAAATTATACTGGATTGGAGATATGAGATAAATAGCTGAACATCTGGACCATAATACTGGTGGCCTGTGCCATGAAAATATATATTCAAGTTGGCATAAAAACTGCCATTTCTACCACACAGGAGCTATTTTGCCACATCAGGGTTATCAAACCAGCAGGGCTTTTTACTATTCTCTGATCTTGATTCAGTCAAGATAACTCTCCTGCCTCTCTTTCTGTATCTGGTAAATAGACAGCCTATTTACATTTCTGAAAAGACTGTTTTAAGGATGCTTGAAGCAGGATCCTGTCACAGCCCATGCTTGTATTGACTTGCTATTGCAGAGGAGAAAGAGGGGGCGGCTGGCTGGCTGGGACTGAGGGCAGATTTGTAATGCCTAACTGCATTCTTACCAGGGCTGTCATTAAGAAGTTGTCACTATTTCGGCTTGTTTTACTGCAAGCTTTTATTTTTTAACTGCCTTGTTGGACTGCCATTAATTTAATGTTCACATCTATAATGCTGCTTATCTGCTAGCGCTTATTGCAATATTTGTAAAATTGTTCATACACTAGGCTGATAACTATTTTTACTTTTATTCTTATTATTACCATTACTACTACAATCTCTTATATTTTGTTGGCAAGTTCTGTACAAATATTTCTACTGATGGAATAGAAGCAAGCTTATCTATTAAAGGGTTTTAGAGCCAATTTTGCTGTTTTAAAAAGTTTTTGCTTAGGCTTTCAAATTTTTGAAAAAGAATGCTTTTCATTTTATTTTTACATGATGCATTTTAGTGTTGTGGCAGCGTCTGCAATTGATTGTATGAGGTATGCATATGGGGACTATGTATTTATTTAAATACTTTGGGTAATAATAAAATATAATTCTTTTAAAAAGTTGGTTTCTTATGTTAGAGATTTTCGTCTGGCCCTAAACACATTCCAAGAAAGTTAACTCCATACCCTAAACTAGCATTCTAATTGCATACAATTAGTCAGGTTCTGTGGGAATTATTGTTTCTGTCTATGTTAAAAGCTGCACCTAGCAAGCTCAAAGGGACTTAGGTGAGCATCACAATGTGGATGGTTTGGGTCAGCAAAGGGATCCTGGTGCCCCATTGAGGTACCCTGAAATAAATGCAACTCCTTCCATATAATATGTTAATCTGGACTGCTTGAAAATATGAACACATTCTACTTGATTGTATTATTGTTTTGAATATTAAGTCTGGTATATTAAGTAGGATGTTCACACTGGGATCAGAAGGCTATTGCATGTTTGACGCAAAGGCATACTCCTAGGTTACAAAATAGAAGCTCATTTGTAGAATAATATGACATGGCCTTTCTTCCTCCTTTTACAGGTATCTTATATCTAAAAGTCTGCTTATGATTTTTTCATGGTCATTGTTCAAGTTTGGTGGATGTAGGATTGAGTTAGCTAGAAGACAGGACAAGGATGTCCCGGTCTTTAGATACACTGATTTGATCTGAATGGTGGACACTTGGGCAATGTTTCTAGTAGTTCTGGAATCAAGATTTTGGAATTAGATTTCAGTGGGGTTCCTTGGGGAAGTTTTGTGAGAGAAAATAACCTTGTATATCTTAGACACAAGACTAAATTTTTACTAAGCAACAGAAGCTATACTGCTGTGTGTGGTAATACTGTGAAGGCACCATCTCCCCCTAATCAGGTACCAATCACATCAAAATTCCACCATTTACATCTTGACATTCCTACAGTACACTGCTATTCCACTTCAAGGTCCCTTTTTGGATGGAAATATACCCTATATATTTTAATATAAACAAAATGGGTTGATGTTTAAAGGGATAGCAGGCATTTTATTTGTGGCAAATCAAAATGTCAGTTGCTTATTTTTCCCTTTATAAACTGTTCTGAAGTTCAGAGCTATCCATGCTTCATATTTTTTATCTCCTTATCTGGTACCCCCATTTTTTTTGTTAGCAGTCTGGGTTCATGCTTTCCAACTGCTTTGCTGCCCTCTTTTTCCATGCGTTGGCAAAACCTGGTACATGCAGACAGAATCTCTTTCCACATCTAAGGAAGATCTAAATGGCTTTGTGGGGCATACAGCATCCCAGTATCCGCTACTCACAGTACACAGGGAGTCAGAAACTTATTAGAGCCAGCTGAGGAAATATTAAGTCTGAGTAAGGAACCTTCTTGTGCAGAACAGAGCTGTACCAAGCTCATTCTATGTATGCCTTAGAGAAATTCAAGCGTTTTGACCCAAATGGTTTCTTTGTAACCCATGTTTCTTAGGAATGCAAGTAGTGTTAAATATTCTCATTTGAGATATTAGTTTAGAAGTTATGCTATTAAACCCCCAAGATATTTGGCAGGAATGATGCCAGGTTTCCTTGGCAAACACAAGCTATCAAGGAAATAGTGTTTGTTTCCTTTTTACAAACTTGAATTTACTTCTGTGCTTTCCCCCCCATCTCTGTTGCATTATAAGTGTCTGTTTAGTTGAGAGGTTTTGAATGCATTTAGGGAAGAAAACTCTTGCAAGTGATTGTTTTTGTGAAGAATATGTAGAAAAAACAATGGATTAAGCGTACAAACATGTATCTGAATGGGAGTGCTTTTTTTTTTTTATTGCCAAAACGTGTTGTGTATTGACTCATGGCTAGGCAAATGGCTTATTCTGAAGCCTTCGTGGCGGGGGTGCAGGTGGGTGTTGAAACAGATTTAAAGAAGTGGAAATGCTTAGCATTCTGTCTGTCTTCAAGGCAGCATTTCATTTCTACTCTGAATTAGCATAAATACCTCAGAGGTTCACCTGGTTGGTTGAGAGGTTTACTGCTGTTAAATTGTATTGAAATGCAGAATTGGCAATCATTTTCCATAGTTCTTTTGTCCAAAGAGATTATGTAAGATGTTTGAACTGGCAGCCTGGTCCACAGGGAAAAAGATGGACTTTAGCTAATTGGACCAATTCAGTGCATTAATTTAGCTGATTGAAATCCCTCCAATGTCACTTTGAATGGGGTTGGAGGCAGGTTGTTGTGAGCTGAGCTGATGGATAACTTGCCAAGGGACATTGATTTCTGTTTTCCTGCCATATTTCTTGCTAACTCTATTGTCCTGTATTTTAGGGTTTGTGCTTGATTTCACATTTGCCAGACATAAATATGCCAAACTCATGAATCATCCATTCTCTTCCAAATTATAAGCATAATGCACATTCAAAAAGTATAACAAATATGGAGGTCTGATTTATTTGGTCACCAGTTTCCAAGAGTTTTCTGCATATTGAATCCTGCATACAAATATTGTCAGGATTCAGCCCACACTCAAGAGTTGAACTGTGGCTTGTTATTCAAACATAGGTTATCATGCTGTTTGAGCCCAGCAGAGAAAAAAAGCCATAGTTCACAAGACAACAACAAATCTTAGCTTCTCTTCATTGATTATTTATTGTTTTAAGTCATGGCTTGTTAGTACTGCTGGATTCAGATGACATGACAACCTGCATTTAAACAGCTTACTGACAACCCTATGCGACCTATACTTAGTAACTGAGTGAAGGTTATTCTGTTGTTTGAACCCAATCACTGGCAATAGAAGCTGAAATTCCAGAAATATACAACCGCTTCTTATACTTCAGTGAATATCAACCATCCATGTCATGCCCTGACAAAAGTGCCCTGAATCTGCCAGGGATTGCTTACTTTGGTTCTTCCTTTTATTTAAAGCAGTGAGTACAGTAGTTATTATTTTATCTCACAGCATCCATTGCTTCAAACTTGCAATTGTACAATCTAATCAGTTACTTGTATTTTAAAAGTTAAGGAAAGTCTTAAGATTGTGAGAGTTACCAATCTGTCCTTAATAATGGAATCAGAGGTTGGAGGATACAAATTGACACATGGCTAATGTTGAACATCTTTATGTGTTTTCAAATGGTAAGCAACTGTCTAGAAATTTTATTTTTGTTCTGTTCATTTTCTGTGATTGTTAATAAACTTTTAAATTAACACACATTGAGCCTTTTTATTTGGACAAATCCAATAGCTTGGGCCATGAAATTGTATGGGTGGGTTTGGGTGGAGTAAAGAGATTATTTTGGGGGGGGTGGGAAAAAGGAGATTAACATTCCCCCTCCATTTTTCCAGTCCTTGACAAACATTCACCACTTCCCCGTTTTCAGCACTCCCACATTCCGTTCCTCCTCATTTTCTTAGAGTCAGTGGGAAATGAGAAACAGGACGCATTAACATTATCCACATCTCTGAAAGCTCACTAGCTGATTTTCCTAGGAAATGAGTACACAACATCTTTGGCCATAGCAACAAAATCCAGTTTTGTGAAGGGTCCAGGGGCTGCATATGTGCTTGTGTGTGCATATGCTTATGTGAACACATGCACACTGAGGGGAAGAACCTCCATAGGTAATTGATTCCCTTGTACAGAATCAGCATGTTCTTTCTGATGTGCAACTAGAATGTGGCTTCTTGTAACTTGACCCCAGTATTCTGCATCCTGCACTCTGGGAAGATTGAACTGCCCACACAGTTTGGGATAGGGACCACAAACACATAGACACATCCTGGGGAGGGGATGCAACAGCCTTCTTGCTGCCCCAGAGCTCCTGACACAAGTGCTGCTAATCTCCAATGTGCTTGGCCAACAGGAGAACGTACACTTAAGGGCTGAGTATAGATTGAGCATGGCTTATCGCTGAAGCATGGGTGGCTTTTGAAAAGTGGCTTATGGTCAATCTCTCAACAGAGGCTTAAGGAGAGGGATTACTTTGTGAATGTAAGGAAAGGAATTCTTTATCTCTGAACTCTGTTGA